TCTGGGTTAAATATAACCCAGCGCTGGGTTAAAAAGGGACAAACCCAGCTATTGGGTTGTTTTGACCCAGCGGTTGGGTTGTTTTGAACCCAACCGCTGGGTCAAAACAACCCAATAGCTGGGTTTGTCCCTTTTTAACCCAGCGCTGGGTTATATTTAACCCAGAATTTTTTAGAGTGCAGACTCGCTTACTAAATTAACCTTTGTAGGAAATAGCTTTCTTCTACATACACACACGTTTCATTCAATAATCAGTTACTTGATTATTGAATGAAATAAAAATGACTAAAACATTCATCAGAATTTCTCCTTTTGTGTTGAACAGGAGAAAGAAAGTCATACGAGCTTAGAATAACGTGGGTGAATAAATGATAATTTTCAGTTCTGTTATTCAGTGTCATTCGGCTCACGTCAGCAAATGATTGATAGAGCCAGACACTCATAAGCATGTGAAATTATGAGCCAAGATCAAAATTTTGAAAATCTTTTATGGTTCACGGATTCCCCTCTCGTGCTCTAAAGATTTAATTACAGGAGCACACATCCCAAAGGAGGGTAAGTTAACCCTTATTCTGCTACACGGTGGGTAGAAACACTATGGACTGAAGACCTTTGATGGTTTCCATAGAAACGTCTATTCATTGCTGATGATTTTAGGGCTGAATGTTCTCTCCCTCCTGTTGAGGAACAGCACTCACTTAAGGATGCAATTGAAGCTTTGCGCAGCTGAGAAACATGGATCTGCGCTGGCATTCCCACTTAATGTAACTACTTCCTTAAGCGACGATTAGCAAGAACTGAAGGGATTTTGCATTAAAACTAAATTTGATTTCACACTTGATTTTCAGTATGAGTGTCATTAGGCTTAATCCAACAGCTTGGCATTAAAAACCCTGAATATTTCAGAGAGTGACTGGAGTCTGGGACAAAGAGGTGTGTGGAAAAGTTCAGAAAGAATATATACTGTAACTACAATTTAAAACTTTGGGGTCAGTAAAATGTATACTTTTATTTCCATAGATAGATAGATAGATAGATAGACGGACAGACGGACGGACGGACCGATAGATAGATAGATAGATGGATAGATAGATAATATTGTATACATCAATGACATATATTATATGTACAAAAATTATAATTTAGATATATTTTTATTGAAATATGACCCAGGAAAGAAAAAAGAAAGAAAAGGGAAGAAAAAAAAACCCTCACAAAGAATGTGGGTAATAATAACCTGGAGGTTGTGTATGCAAACTGCTGCAAACTGAATGAAAGGTTGAGAGTTCATTGTATGGTGGTTAAGTGTGAACTTTCAGCGGAAATATTAGAATCCTGCCAATTAGCCTATTGTGAACTGCTCTAAAGAAAGTATTTCAAATTAGCCATGTATTTCAGCCACTTTACATCACGTCTCAATTAGTTAGTCCATTGTACATTAAATTACTTCTCAGAAATCTGCTGTTTCCACACTCTAAAAAATGCTGGGTTAAATATAACCCAGGAATGTTCTCTCCCTCCTGTTGAGGAACAGCACTCACTTAAGGATGCAATTGAAGCTTTGCGCAGCTGAGAAACATGGATCTGCGCTGGCATTCCCACTTAATGTAACTACTTCCTTAAGCGACGATTAGCAAGAACTGAAGGGATTTTGCATTAAAACTAAATTTGATTTCACACTTGATTTTCAGTATGAGTGTCATTAGGCTTAATCCAACAGCTTGGCATTAAAAACCCTGAATATTTCAGAGAGTGACTGGAGTCTGGGACAAAGAGGTGTGTGGAAAAGTTCAGAAAGAATATATACTGTAACTACAATTTAAAACTTTGGGGTCAGTAAAATGTATACTTTTATTTCCGCAAGGATGCATTAAATTTATCAAAAGTGACAGTAAAGACATTTATAATATTACAAAAGATTCCTATTTTAAATAAACACTGTTCTTTTGAACTTTCTATTTCAAAAAATAAAATTACTACTGAAAATCTGGCTTTGCATCACAAGAACAAATTACATTTTAAAACGTATTAAAATATAAAATTGTTATTTTAAATTGCAATAATATTTCACACTATTGAAGGTTTTTTTTCTTTACTGTATTTATAATCAAACAAATATTTGAGCACAAAAAGACTTCTTACCAACCCCAAACTTTTGAATGGTGCAAAAATATAAAAAAATAAATAGATTAAAAGTTACTGAATATATTTGCTAAAAACATATAAATAATATTTGATTCATAATTACATTTGTCAATATTAGTATTATTAAAATAAGTTACAATTTACTGAATTTGACTGGTTGGAAATAATTAAATCACAATTATTTTATTCTATTAACAGCTATTACCATCAGTTTTACTAAGGTATTTATTAACAAATGTATTTATTCATGTATGTATTTAATTATTTTTTCCTCTAGGATTATATATCTAAAAGTACTGTGGTTTTCTTGTTCAAAAACTATAGTTTTTGGTACTTCTTGTCAGTGAACAAAATCATTCCATGAAAAAATCTTAATCTGTTATATTACATGCTGGTTTGCTTATGAACGTCTCAGTCACAAAAACACATCTTGAGAACATTATTTCAAATAATCACCACTTCCTGTGCAGTTTATGATCCTGGCTGCAAAATAATAACCTTTGCTAGATTTGACCAATTATATTGAAAAAGCACCACAAAAGCATCCTAGTGTTGTACTACTTTGTTTAGATATTTTTCGTCCTTGTATGGCCTACTTCATCTGTTTTTGTGTGTTTTCTGTATTCCCTCATTCACCGTCTCACTCACGGTCTTTTCATTACTGCAGTCCTTCTTGGTGGCCTTTATGTAGTCGCTCCGTCCTTTCAGATGCTCATCGTATTCCTCCGGCGTCATGTCTCCGTCTTCAATGAGAACGTGTGGCAGATGGGGCTCTACGCGAAGTAAGGAAGAATAATTTACTATCTCTGTACAGCATTAAAACCTCTCAGTGTGGAGACACAACAGTGAATTATGACAGCAGACGATGAGATGCATTACTGCCAGACATGAAGGACTCCCATGGTGGCGGTATTTCTTAAAAACAGCAGCTGTATTAGACACAGAGTGCGTTGGCGCCATCAATACGGCTGAACGTTTGCCCCTTTGACTCGGCTGCCTTATCAATTCGATTGCACAATACTGGCCTCGGGTCACCTGCGGAGTGAGGCAATCTTACGCCGCAGCTTATGAGGCATCGAGGGATTCATTTATGCCTCCCAGACGCCGACGGAGGTCGAGATGCATGATGGGGTGGCTGAAGAAATATAGAGCTCAACTAAACAGTGCTTATAGAGCGAGAAATGATGTTAAATGGCTGTGGACCTGGGAATGATGTTTCAATAGCCTATGATTTAATAAAGCGCCTCTTGTTTGGACAAGCTTTCAGGCACATGGAGAGATTAGCACTGGCTTGCTCTGAAAGGCCGACTCTATTGTCCAGTTAGCACAGGTCAGAGTGGCTGTGATCTTGTTTGTCTGTCCATGTGGGGACCAAATGGCCTGACAAAAAAACAACATTGCTGGGATGGTCCACAAGGAAAACGGATTCATAAAGGGACTAAAATGTTTGCTCATTGCCACTAGAAGTGGTTGCTAGGATGCTAGTTGCTGCCCTGAGTGGCTTTTAGCATTATTGTTGCCAAGTTTTCTAGGGGGTTTCTAAGGATGGGAATCATAAGAATTAAATTCTGATTCCTTTGAACAATTTTGATTCCTTAATGATTCTTTTAGTACTTTTAAGGAATACATTTGATAATAAGAAATGTAATTGCATTGCCAAATGATGAGATCATTTCAGTAATAAAAAAAAAACACATTTAAAACAATTCTCGCAAAAGGTGTGTTAACATTTTAATGACTTTTCACAATCTTTTTAGAGGTGGCATACATGCAACCCAATAATTGGTGTTCGCTATATTTTCAACAACATTATACTAAACTAATTAAGCATTCATATTTAATTATATTTATTTATTTTTGCATATTTATTGCATGTTATATGAACAACCAGTCAGTAACTTTTCTGATTTAAGTCTTGAGGGGCCCGCCCCCCCCTTAAAGGTCAAGTGAATTTTATTTTCTCTTTAGCGCCAGATTAGATGTGCTTTCAACAGTTTCTTAAAAATGTACAGTGATTTGGCAGACCTGATCGGCAGGGGCAACTCATTCCAAAGTCTTGGCCCTATCACAGCGAAGGCCCGATCGCCTTTATATAGGCGATTTGTTCTAGGCACTACAAGTAATTTTTGATTCTCTGATCGTAATGTTCTAGGAGGATTATATGGGATTAAAAGGTTTGCCAAATACAATGGGGCCTGGTTGTTTAAAGATTTGAACTATTTGAACTATAATTTTATATTTAATTCTAAAATGGACTGGGAGCCAATTTAAAGAAACTAACACAGGGGTAATTGATTCATATTTCTTTACCTTTTTTAGTAACCTCGCCGCAGCATTTTGTACTGATTGTAGTCGAGACAAAGATGTGGCGGTGATGCCAGAATACAAAGAATTACAGAAATCCAGCCGTGATAGAATAAAGGCATGGATTACTCTTTCAGAGTCTGAGTTTGTTAAGAACGGTTTAACTTTGGCTAATAAACGCAAATTATAAAAACCAGCCCGAACCACTGAGTTAATTTGCTTATCTAATTTTAGGTTATTATCAATTAGGAAGCCTAAATCTCTTACTGTTTTTTTTTTCAAATACGGTGCCAGAGGGCTCGCATCTAATAAATTTTTTGTGGAGTTATTTGGGTGGCTAAAAACAATGACCTCTGTTTTTTCCTCATTTAGCATTAAAAAAAATTTCGACAACCAATTTTTTATGTCCTTTAAATACGGTACATGGTCGTGCTCTCTGTATCGCGCACAGCGGAGTTCAGCCCCGATGCGCACACACAAGTGAGCACACTCCCACTAGTATTTGTAAATATTAAGCCGCAAAACGACTACTTAAATATGAATTCTGCGTGTCTCCGTGTTAAAGAATGGTGCAGACGCGCGGTTTTGTTTACTACTCGTACTGAAGTGCGCGTGACGCTTCCGGTGATATTAACGTCTGCCGTCTCACTAATGAGGACATAAATACATGAACAACATCTCCGGAACTGCTCTGAGAGTCACTTCGTGAGCATTTGACCATTTCATTTGAGTAAAACTATCCTCATATCATATACACACAGAAATGTACAGGTATTCACGGCAACCCGTCAAAATAAAAGTTCAGTTTAACTTGAAGACATTGAGGCAGAAATATAATACAGTTGTTCAGTAGAATGTACGTAATAGGCTACTACTACTACTAAAATTATTAAAACCTTATTTTTAAGGAATAATCATACAATATTTCTTCAATGTTTTAATTATAATATTAAATCCCCTTTATTTTCCAAAACAATAATCTTAAATAATTAAGATTTTAATAATTTAAAATAATTAAACCCCCTCCCCCCCAAAAGCCGTAAACCTATAATAATTATTGTAATTATGTGTGCTACACACCACTGGGGTAGATCAGTATCTCCACAGGGCAGTCGTAGGTGTACTTGTCTGCCAGTGTGACCACAATGCTTGTGGCAGAGCGAGCCGTGGGGTCAGCGTCCGCCCTGATGGCGTGTGAGGGGCTTTCCACACCTGTACAGAGAAACTTCTAAAGCATCTAAAATAAGCAGGAGCAACAGACGTTAGACCACATGCGAGGACTAAACCGTTCTGCAACTCCAGCAGGAAGATGCATACTGCAAAACAACCGGTATCAAATAATGTTATCAGTATGAAAAGTCAACATCAAACTATTACTGCATCAAAATCACTTAGGCTAGAAAGCTGGCAGGATATATTTTGCATTTATGCTTTTGTCAGACGTTTTAATCCAAATAAAGCATTACATTTTACATGTATTCATATTTATTTATCTGGAAATCAGTGGTATAATATTTAATTCTAGACTCACGCATGAGGATGGAGGAACTGACCTGCCAGTAAATACGGCCCTCTGATCTCAAGATGGAAATTAAACTCATAGTCAATAGAGTTGATGGTCTCTTCCTCCAACAGAGCAGCCAAACACACTCCTGAGGCCGTCTGCTCGTGGGTTCCCACTGCACAGTGATGCTGATCCCTCCTGAGACAAATCAGCAGGAGATATTGATAAACTGCTCAATGTTTTTTGTCCATACAATGAAAGTCAGTAGGGTCTGACATTGTTTAACTTCCAGTTTCCATGTTGTACATTTTGCTTAATCAACACATAATGCGACAATATCTTTGGAAAGATACCTAGAGAGATGGTTAAACAGATGGCAGTAAAAATTCTGTATGCAAATAAATGCAAGAAGGAAGACAGGTCGCAATTCAGTATGCAAATAATAGAGCAATATCAGAGATTTTTAATCTTGCATATCATTTGAACAACCAGTCAGAAACTGCTCTAATTTAAAGGATAGTTCAAACAAAAGAAGAAACATTTTTGAAAATGTACCTACCCTCAGGCCATCCAGAATGTAGATGAGTTTGTTTCTTTATCTAAAAAGATTTGGAGAAATTTTGAATTACATCACTTGCTCACCAATGGATCCTCTGCAGTGAATGGGTGCCGTCAGAATGAGAGTCCAAACAGCTGATAAAAACACCACAATAATCCACAAGTAATCCACACAACTGCAGTCCATGGCTTAAGGATGGATTGGTTTTTTACAAATGCAGCTTTTCATTTTGCAAAACGTTACCTGATGGACTGGAGTCATCTGGATTATTTGTGGATTATTAAAATTCATTTGGTGAGCAAGTGATGTAATGCTAAATTTCTCCAAATCTGTTCTGTTCCAATAGACAGACAAAGTCATCTACATCTTGGATGGCCTGAGGTGAGATTTAATTTTTTATTTCAGAAATTTAATTTCAGTATGCAAATATTACACTGATATCAAAGATTTTTATGCATGTCATGTGAACAACCAGTCAGTATGTTTTTGATTCACTAAAAAGAGCCGACTCTTAAGAGTCATTCATTCAGGAATCGGACCACACTGATTGTCCTGTAACTGTTTGATTCATTGAAATTAAACTAGTCCTTCAATCATTATAAATCATTATGCAAATATATTACACAGATATCAGCTTCAGTGTAATGTCTACTATGTCATTGCAGGTCAATGGGAGATTTTTAAACTTTAATCTTAAATGTCCTAAAAAGTGTAGCATGCAACACAAAATGCAAAATAGGTAGTACAGATAAAGCTGATTTTATCTACAAAATACATTTTATGCTTTAAATTGGAGTCTGTATGTTAAAAGGTTCAGACTGAATGAATTGCTTTTACTAGGGTTTGGAGTTTAGAACTGAAATCAGAATGTTTGAAGATCATACAGTAAATACAGTGTGCCCATGCAAATACTACAACATTAATGAATCACACACCTCCTAGCAGTGCTGGGTGAAAACGCCTGCTCCTCTTTGACAGAACGTTGGACTCTTGGAGAGCAGACGGGTGGTGAGCTCACCCGAATTCCCCCATTAGGGAGTGTGCTGAGCTCTGAGGAGGTGCTGACCAGTATATTAATGGTCTCCAGAGGGGGAATGACCCCCAGATTGACCACCAGCACTGTCGTCTCCTGATCCTCATCCAAAATGATATGTCCTGCAACAAGATGATTCATCAGTAAAACCTCTGAAATGTACAGTCAACTTCAATGAAAAGCTTAATAAAATGTGTTAAAGGAATAGTTCACAGAAAAATGAAAATTTGTGGAAAATTTACTCTGCCTGTGGATCCTCTGCAGTGAATGGGTGCCGTCAGAATGAGAGTCCAAACAGCTGATAAAAACTTCACAATAATCCACAAGTAATCCACAGTCCATCAATTAACATATGGTGAAGGGAAAAACTGTGTGTTTGTAGAAACAAATACAAAATTAAGGCTTTTAAACTTTAAACTGTCACTTCTGACCAAAAGACAAGTCCATAATCCGTAATAACACTACCTCCAGTGAAAAAGTCCATCCCCTGTTGTCCTCTCACATCAAAATCCACCAACATATTTGTTTAGAACCATTTCAGACCATTTTCACTTGTAAACAGTGCTTGATCTGTGCATATTTCTCTCCTGATTCAGACAAGATGACTTTTCACTGGAGAAACCAATATTATGAATAGAGGACTTGTATTTTAGCAAGGAGCAACTATTTAAAATTGTCTTGATGAATTTGTTTCTTACAAACACATAGCTTTTTGCTTCCTGGACTGGATCCTGTGGATTACTGGATTACTGTGATGTTTTTATCAGGTGTTTGGATTCTCATTCTGACGGCACCCATTCACTGCAGAGGATCAATTGGTGAGCAAGTGACGTAATGCTATATTTCTACAAATCTGTTCTGATGAGGAAACAAACTCATCTACATCTTGCATTGCATGAGGCTGAGTAAATATTCAGCCAATTTTCATTTTTGGGTGAACTATTCCTTTAACTGGATTCAACAGTCACTGTGACAGGCCTTACGTTTAAGCGCTGAATCAGGGATTAGCTAAGATCTTTGATGAGCATTATTAATGAGCATACAATCTTACCACCTCCGCTCTGCGGGGTTCCATTGGCATTGCAGCAATCAAAGTAACAGTCATCGATTTTCATTTTATCTTTGACCTGCACGGTTATTATCTGGCTGCCAATCATCGCTTCGAACCCGACCACCACGCTGAACTCATCCAGAGGGTATATAAAGATTCCTGCATGAATCACAGGATTACAGGAGAACACATTGTTTATTACCCAATAGCTGAAGGCGATCCTTCCACAAAGCTAATTGTGCACTTGACAGAAATTAAATCAATCGTTTTAGTGCTTTCAGCATTGATCAATGCAAAATCCAATCTGTTGGAGTCGACACTGGGGACCACAGAGCAGAAATCTGCTGGTGACATTTCTAGACTTCACACAAATAGCTGATGAGGTTGGGAGGGAAAGACAAGTGTTTCTATTTCCTTCAGGGCATTTTGACAAAGTATTACTATGATTATAAAGAGTTTAATGCATTTCTTCTCAAAACAGGATGAGAATCATAATTGTGTTTTTTGTCAAAAGCTGAAAAGGTTAAGTGTTTTGGACAAAAAAATAAATACTAGGCCTGATGATGTAGCATCTTTTGAGATTATATTTAATATTCAATGGGAAAATGCTAAAATTTAGGTTCAATCAATACTATACTCCAAAAAAATATTTAGGCCTAAATTTAAGATTTATTTATTTGAACTGCAAAGTTTCCATCCATTTGCATTACACAGTTTTAATATAAACTCATAAACTTAATATAATGCATATTTGTCAGTCATTCATATTAAACAAGTAATATTTCTGCACTGGCAGTTTATTAACTATTTGCATTGATTTGGTTTCATTTTCATCTTATTTTCAAAATTGCAAATCAGCATAAATCTGTTCATTGTGAAAACAATAACTGAAACAAATTGGATTTGTAAATCTGGTTATTGTGTATATATGACTGACAAATATGCATCACATTTAACAGTTCAAGGTAAACCTAGTAATCCAAATGGAAAATATATATATATATATATTTTTTTTTTTGAGTGTAATAGTGAAGACGTAGCAAGAGCCACTAATGATTGATATCACTTCAGAAGAAGTAATGCACCTATTTTAGACAGCATACTTACCCTCGACAGGGTGATCTTCGATGTTTTCATAGGTCAAGGAGGCTGTCATTGCCAGGGTGTAACCCCTGACACAGGAAGTGATGTCTGAGACGCTGAGAGGCAGAGCGCTCCATTTGCTCTTGTTGATCAGGCCAGGCATGATGGTGGTTCTGTCCAGTACAGCTTCTCAAATGCAGAGAAGGGAGTGAGAGGGGATGCTTCCCTAAAAAACCTAGATAACATTGAAACTATGTTTTACAATATATCTTACAGAATGCCAATAAATAAATACATATCTCTTTGGGGCCAATGCATTTTATTTATTTTTTTGGACACACATTTATGGACACACGTTTATTTTTGTGAACAATGTATGAAAGTCCAGATAAGCATTATTATTATTAATAATTATTAGTATGCATTGAGTTTTCTTGCTTTAAGCAATAAAACAAAACATCAATAAATAAACATATATTTATTTATTTACTTGCATACATTTTTTTTAATGTCCAGAAAAAATATCTAAACTTTAAAACAAGATAAATTTACTTAAAAATCTGCTTGAATGACCTAATATTGCTATAATAAAAATAAAATATAAAATAATAAAAATTAAAAATATAATAAATAATAATATTTAATAAATATTTTTATAATAAATAAAAATACATAACTTACAGAATGCAAATAAATAAAAGAGGCCAATATTTATTTGTTTATTTATTTAATATCTAAACATCCTTAAAACAAGATACATTTACTTAAAAAGCAAAAATGCATAAAGGATCTAAATTATTATTATTCTCTCTCTCTCCCTCTACTGGTTTTAATTGTTTTAAGCATAAATCTAACAGAATTTTGTGGTGTTAGTTAAAAAACTCCAATGAGAAAAATAAACTTTCAAAATATATTCTCCGAAAACAAGTCACATGCAGTATCTAATGATATTTTGTTTCTCAAGTTAAACTGATCTCATTTTAAGGATGTTTATAGAAAAAAAACCGTAACATTAACTCTGGACATGTTCAATTAACATTTGACCACCAGAAAATGACCAAAAACTAATTTTGAAAAGTGTGTTTACTATTTTATAATTTACTACCATACAAACTGTGACATGTTTTGTTTAAAAAGTGTGCAAATCTGTCCTTCAAATAAATGCCACCTGTTTAATATTTCATATCTATGCAGTGACATTCACAAATTTTAAGTGTGGCTTAAGTGTCCAGTATCTGTGCTCTGAATAAAAAAAACCAAGTCATTCATATTGTCACATCATAACTCATCACTGCCCTCATGCCTGTCGCATTAATAAAAATGAGAAGACAACAGCATTATCCGTATCGCTCTGTATGTCACTCTGGTGTCCGAATGAAGACCTCTGACAGGTCCACACAAACCCCCTCCCCGTCCCATGGCTGGATTTCTGGCACACAAACCGCAGGTCTGCTTCAGCGCCATGAAAGGGAACAGAAACCTCTGGCACATCAAACAAGCCACAGCACTGTAACAGATGCAGTGCTGATGCCATGACGAGTCAGTTTTTACCTGAGGTCAGCACACAGAACTCCAGACTGTGGAATACAAAACCAGAGCAGTTATCTGATACAGAGCAGCGTCTGTGTCTCTCAGTTCCATTAACGATTGTTCCAGAAAAAGAGATTAACGTGATGTAATACTCAAATTAACTAGTTTTCAGAGCACAAATGAGATCTCTTTAACTTTTCAATTGATTCTCTTGGACAGTAATGGAATTGAAATGGAAAGCTAATGCGCAACAGTTTTCTCTCCTTAGAAAAAGATGCCCAACACCAAAGCTTTCAGTCTAGAGTTTCAGGGGTGATCTCTCTGAATAATGTCGCAGACTCTGCTCAGATTTGCCAAAATGCAAAGTCTGTCACCAAATTATTTGTTTTAGGACTCTGTACTCACATGTCAATTGTCTTGTGTTTGTTTTTATTTCTAGTAAGACATAAGAAGACAAATAAATCATAACTGAAAACACCATTAAGTTTCCTGAGGTTTGAACAAGCAATCTCCAAACAATAAAAATGTCACAAATGAGATCTCTTATATTATGACATTTATAAATACTGCAATTGTTTCTCCTAAACAGCAAAGACAATCAAAGACTTTTGTTGAATCTGCTTGTCAGATTTGTCTGAAAACCACAATAGATTCGGAAAAGATCTCAAAAATGCCTCGCACTGTGCTAAGGTTTACAAATATCAGAGATTTTAATATGAACTCAAGCATTTTCTTGAATCTTTTAATGAATTACCTGAGTTATACTGTCGAGAAAATATTTGGCCATTCTGAGATTATGATATTATGAGATTATACACTATCATTCAAAAATATGGGGTTGGTACGAATTTTTTTAATGGTTTTAAAATAAGTTTCTTATATTCAGTAAGCCTGCATTTATTTGATCAAAAATACAGTAAAGTAGTAATATTGTGAAATATTATTACCATTTAAAATAACAGTTTTCTATTTTAATATTTTGAAATGTCATTTTTTCCTGTGACGCAAAACTGAATTTTCAGCATAATTCCTCCAGTCTTCAGTGTCACATGATCCTTCAGAAATCATTCTAATATGCTCATTTGCTGCTAATGAAACATTTCTTATTATTATCAATGTTGAAAAGAGTCATGCTGCTTGATATTTTTGTGAAAACCGTTATATATTTTTCAGGATTTTTTTTAAAGAATATAACATTCAAAGAACAACATTTATTTGAAATAGAATGACGTTTCACTTTTGATCAGTTTAATGCATTCCTGCAGAATAAAAATAATTTCTTTATTTAAAAAAAAAAAATCTTACTGAGCCCAAACTTTTTAAAAAAGTACTGTGAATTGTATTGTTTAACATTAATATATTTAATATTAATTTGACATATGATTTGAATTAATTCTAATATATCAACATTATATCAGCAGTTCACAGCCTTGAAATGGTATCAGGCATTGAAAAGCCCATATCAGTCAACTACTAATGTCTTACTGAATCTCAGCATTTGAGTCTCTGTTTATTTCATCTAATGAATTACAGGAGAAACATCTGTGATAAAGCTCATACTTAAAGCATAAGTCATCAAACAGAATCATGAAAAAATAATGGTTGTTTCCAAACAGGTTTCCCACCTATTTGAATACACAACTGAGAACTCTATTAATTCTCTTGAGCTCTGAGCGAGCAACCTCTGAGAAATATCCAAGAATATAAAAAAAAGGAAAAAGCAAACTGCATTATCATTTATCTCAAGACCGAAATTAATCACCTAACTTGCTGAACTTCCACAGTGGGTCAGTGTTTTGGAAATTTAACTCGATTCCCAGCCAATCCACCCAAGATTTATGAGCAACTATTCTCAGAGGACATAAATGTTTGAGATTAAACAGCTCCCCGTTATCACAGGACAGAAACAGACGCTTTCATCAAGGTGTCCACATGGTCATAACTCTCAGACACAGAGGAACGCCACCCCCTCTCTAATAGATTAGGGTTTGGCGGGGTGCCACGTGACGGGATGAGAGTGGACAGGTCAAACACTGCCATCATGTGTCCTGAGAGGAGCAGACATTTCTGCACAAAGCAGGTGTCAGTATCATCTTTAAACATGATATAACAGATGCTGAAATCATGCAGGTAACTAATGATAATAAAACCTTATTAAAAGTCTATTATGCTCACCTAGGCTGCATGTATTTGTTCAAAAATGTGACATATTATTATAATTTAGAATAAATGTTTTTTATCGTAATACATTTTAAAATGTTTATTCCTGTCGTGCAAAGCTGAATTTTCAGCATCATTACTCCAGTTTTCATTGTCACATGATCCTTCAGAAATCATTCTAATATGCTGCTAAAAAACATTTATAACAGATACTGAACCATGCAGGTAATCAATGATATTAAAACCTCAAAATAATCATCTCTTATGCTCACCATGGCTGCATTTATTTGATTAAAAATAACAGTGTTCTTGTTAAATTTTCATTTTTGTAATATGCTGATAAAGAAACATTTATAACAGATACCGAAGTCATGCAGGTAATCAATAATATTAAAACCACATAAATTAAGCTTTTTAAATGACTCTAGCAGAGCAAGTGAAGGTCAAAATCAATTTCATTCTTAATAACCATATGATTTTGTTTGTCCTCAGCATGAAATAAAACATAATTCTAGCTTTCTTCCATGTTCTATTCTAGGGGACCCAAATCAGAAGAACCCAAAGTGACAGACAATAATCAACCCCCGCCTCCCATCCATCCTCTCCCTGGAGCAGCGGTGTGAATCACTCCCAAAGAAATAGCCAAATCACCAACTCCACGGCTGCCACCACACACACTGCGGGAGACACGGCACAGAAACAACCACCTGTTGATCTCAGCAAACACTGACTACAGATGCATCACTTGCGGCCGCGAGCAAATGAAATCCCTCTTTAGTGCTTTGGAAACACTTCCCAAATTCACCTCGAATCTAAAACAAAATACTTCATCTCAATCCTTTGACTTCAGTTCCTCACACACTTTTCTCAAAGCAGAAATCTCTTACCTCACATCTGCAGCGCTGGCAATTCTCTCTCGACGTCTGAATTGGTGAGGTCCAAAATAACATCAGGCTGCAACTCCGAAAAGCTCTCTGCCTCTTGGAGATGGACACAACAACTGAGCAGAACGGAGGACGGGAGGGAGGTAGAGAGAGAGAGAGATACAGAAGCAGCTGGAGGAACGTTAATGCAGTCAATCAGCACAGCAACATGTGGTTATGAAGCTCAGAGCTGGAAACGAGTGCTTGTCCTGTGCAACAGATGAACACAAACCCCACCAGCCCCCCGCCAACGCTCGATTCTCCCCTCAGCATCTGTACCACCCACCTCTCCGCTCCCCCACCTCTCTGTCTCTCCGTAATCAGTGACGAGAGCCCATTCATGTATCCTATTTGATAGCCAGGGGTGCCACTGGCTGAAATGCAACACCATGCATGGGGGAAATGAGGGGAGGGAAGAGATCATAGATCATGCAAAGGATTCAGATTGAGAATTTTGGTCTCACATCCTTTTCGGTCCCGTTATCCGCCACTTTTGTCTTCCCATCATTCATGTTTTTCCCTCCAGTGACTGCTAAGCTCACTATCTTGATTTCAATATGACAGGGACGGTTTTATATATTTTTTTCTGAATGCATTTTGTGGCCGTGGTGCATGTGATTAATCTGCTTTTGCGGAGGACGTAACCATGACAATCAATATGGAGCATCCAGGGCTTTTTTAAAAGACAACAGGTTGGTTGGAGAAAGTGTGTGTGTGTGTTTAGTGATGTGCTGCCTTGGCTTAAACCTCAGCTTCTGTTTCTCAATTAAATTAACATGTGCTATTTACTGTCTCTCTTTCCCTCTCTTGCTCGCTCGCTCGCTCTCGGTGAATGTCTCTTATCTCATCTGCCGGGATTTACTGAGGGCTGCAGCGGCTGCTGATTATTTCATCTGCAATAAAGAAGAAAATATATCAAATCCAACTTCCAAAAGCTATGAATGGATATCATAAATATCGGTTACACAATCTTTTTAAATAAAGATTATTTGGACATATACAGTACATTTGACTCCCAATTACGATGAAAATCTGAATTTCCTATATGAGAAAGCAGGCAAAAATAAATAAAACCATAATGCATAATGACTTTAGAGACAAATGCAAGATTGCATGACAGAAAAATGGCCCAGAGTACATTTTAATAAATCATTCTTAACACTGAGGTGTTGGGTTGAAGCGTTAATTTTTTTTTAGGTTTAAGAAAACAAGCATGGTCCAAACAGGGTAAATCCCTTTGTTGTATTAAATTAATCGTTTTGGATAAAAGCATATGCTAAATTAATAAATGTACAAAAAGAGCACGGCTTCTAAATAGTGCAACATAAGGTTAAAGCGTCAGTAAAATCTGTATACTGGGTTTTAAATAGATCAGAAAAAGATTTAAAATATTTTAATGGAAAATTCTGTTATCGTTATTCTTACACGGTAACCGTAATCTAACTTTGGTATTCCTAGCAAGAGCATAGTAACCACAGGCAAAAACAAGCATGGCTCTTTATTACCATGGTTATATCAACTATGGTTTCCTATATGATGGTAATAAAGGTATTCAAGTATAAAGGGAACTATCAAGAAATGTGTAGCCAAAACACATTGTGTCATTATCTACACTATGCCTTCCCTCTCCTAGAGTATTCATGTACTATCGCTTCCAAAATACCATATTACTACATGTGCTACACCATGTTAAAAAAGAGATTATTATATTATTTTTTATTCAGGTTTGTTAAGGATTTTTATATATTTGTTTTATCTAAGTGTATTTTTAAAGTAAAAGTGATTATATTCAGGGGAGATTGGGCAAGTTGTAACACTTTTTTTTTTACTACAATGAACATTTCTCAGATATATTTTAGAAAATTAATTTCTGTAATAATTTTTCAACAATATTGGGAATGTTGTCACACTAAATGAGATAAATTGTCACAATACAAATTAACCATGGTTTTACTGCAAATAAAACCAAAAAAACATGATTACAGTTAAACCATGGTAACCACAAATTAACCACGGTTTTGCTACACTGATCATAGTTTAACCATGGTATTTGTAGTAAAACTGTGGTTATACAAATGGTAATCAATACACCAAAAAAACATGGTTACTTCAATTTTATTATAATAAAACCATGGTTAATTTTCATAAGGGTGGAACCATTTTTTAGTAAAACTGTAAAAGTTAATGTAAACAATGTCTAACCATTGCTTTGGCCAACAATTATTGCAATTAATAAATTGTACAAATTGATATCATTTACAACATGTGCAATTAGTTGAAGTTTACTGTGTTCACTTCTTTACACAACAACATACAGTGCCTTGCGAAAGTATTCATTCATTTTTTTCACGTTTTGTTATGTTGCTGCATTATGTTAAACTGCTTTAAATTACTTTTTTTCCATATCAAACTATACTCCATACACCATAATGTTAAAGCAAAAAAATGATTTTTAACATCTTCACAAATTTTAATCCTCTGAGTGGCAAGACTCAATCCTCTCTTCAGTGTAGACACATGAAAACACACTTAGAATTTGCAAAAAAGGACCCTCAGACTGTGAGAAATAATATTCTCTGGTCTGATGAACCTCAATTCCAAGCATCATGTTTGAAGGAAACCAGCTCCGCTCATCACCTGCAGAGTATACCATCCCAAAAGTAAAGTGTGCTGGTAGCAGCCTCATGCTGTGGGGCTGTTTTTCAGCGGCAGGGACTGAGGGACTCGTTAGAGTAGAAGAAACGCTCAGTGCACCAAAATATTGAGATAGCCTTAATGAAAACCTAGTCCAGAGCATTCAGAACCTCAGACTGGGCAGAAGATTTACCTTCCAACACGACAATGGACCTAAACACACAGCAAGAGTGGCTTATAGACAACTCTGTGAATATCCTTGAGTGGCCCAGCCATAGCATGAGCTTGAACCCAATCAAATATTTCTGGAGAAACCTGAAAATGTGCATCTGCTCCCATCCAACCTGACACAGCTTGAGAGGTGAAGAGGTGAGGAGAAGAATAACAGATAATTGCCAAATGCTGATGAGCAAAGCTTGTCGCATCAAGCAAAAAAAGATGTGAGGCTGTAAAGGTGCTTCAGCTTAAAGGGTTAGTTCACCCAAAAATAAAAATTCTGTAATTACTCACCCTCATGTCGTTTCAAACCCGTAAGTCCTCCGTTCATCTTCAGAACACAAATTAAGATTTCCTACGTTGTTGTGATTTGATCTGAACGAAAACAGCATATCTGTGTGACGCAGCTAACACAGAACAGCATACGTTGTTTACGTCCAGCTGATATTCTCCAAAATGGCACCAGAGTGATGCGGAGGAGACGAATTGTTGAATAAATTCGTTTTTTTTTTTTCTTTTGGGCACAAAAAGTATTCTCGTAGCTTCGTATAATTGCGGATGAACCACTGATGTCACATAGATTATTTTACAGATCTCCTTGCTACGTTTCTGGACTTGGGAACATTTCAGTTGCATTGCTGTCTATGGAGGGTCAGACAGCTCTCGGATTCCATCAAAAATATCTTAATTTGTGTTCCGAAGATGAACGAAGGTCTTACGGGTTTGAAACGACATGAGGGTGAGTAATTAATGACAGAATTTTCATTTTTGGGTGAACTATCCCTTTAATATTTAGCTGTGTATTTAGTATGAACACTTATGCAATGTTCTTATTTCAGTTTATTTTATTTTTAATCAATTTACGAAGTTGTGACAATTCTGTTTTTGCTTTGTCAATATGGTGTATGTAGTGTACATTGATGTGGAAAAAAAAACTAATTTAAAGCAGCTTAACATAAGGCAGCAACATAACAAAACATGAAAAAAATGAAGGGGTGTGAATACTTTCACAGGCCACTGTATGTGACCCTGGACCACAAAACCAGTCATAAGTAGCACAGATATATTTGTAGCAATAGCCAAAAATACATTGTATGGGTCAAAATGATAGATTTTTCTTTTATGCCAAAAATCATTAGGATATTAAGTAAAGATCATGTTCCATGGAGGTATTTTGTAAATTTCTTACCGTAAATATATCAAAACTTAATTTTTGATTAGTAATATGCATTGCTAAGAACATTTGAACTTCATTTCACCCTCAGATTCCAGATTTTCAAATAGTTGTATCTCAGCCAAATATTGTCCAATCCTAACAAACCATACATTAATGGAAGGCTTATTTATTCAGCTTTCAGATGATGTATAAATCTCATTTTCAAACAATTGACCCTTATGACTAGTTTTGTGTGTCCAGGGTCACATCAATTATATAAAAATATGATGAAACTGGAATTTTAATTTGGTGCACAAAATTCACAAATAATAAATAAAATAATACGTTTATTTCTTTATACCAAATGCATAAAAATGAGAAAATGTGGTTGGTTTACCTGAGACGCCAACAATAAAGCTGCTAGTTTAAGTGAAATTCAGTCAATATAGACAAAAAATGAGACAAATGTCGATATTTGTCGGCACTAATGGCTTATTATAAAAATATACTAACTTACTATAGCATTTAATTGGTTTGAACTAAAACCCAGATACTTACACATGAAATTGCTTGCAATGAATAATAAACTAGAACCAAAGTCCTGGAACTGTGTCCTGTGCTAACTTCCGGCCGGACAGCGTTCTGTGCGCGCGCAAGCTGAGTCGAGTGAAGTGAAGCCCATCTGAAGACTTATCAAGACCGTTTAATAGTTCACATATCTTCGACTGAAGCGATGGCAACCGACTCGTGGGCTCTAGCTGTGGACGAACAAGAGTCTACAACCAAGACTGTGAGTGCAGAAATGCGGTTTAATTGTGTTGTAATGGATTAGCGCACTAGCTGCGGTGAGTCAGGCGCTGGCTGCGTCTCAAATACTAGCGAGCTGCCTACCTAGACAGCATTTCTGCATGTCACAGGCGTGTTTGAAACGTCCAAACAAGGTTTTGGCCATCAAAATGATTTTTATTTACGTTTTGAGACACGGCCTGTATGAGATTTTAAATCTAGCGGCCACAGTTTAACTTTGAACAAGTAATGTTAACTAAGTTAACGTGGTCTATATAAACTCTTAACGTGCGTAATTTTTGTTTGAAAGCTAGTGAGTGTGTGTATAATTTCCATTAAGTGACTTGTATGACTAGCAGCAAACATATCTGCTTCATTTAAATAATCGACTTTTGTTTAATCAGTTTAAGACTTTATTGACTCATACGCTTAATTTGTGAATGTTCATTATATCATATTGACTCTGCAGTGCATTTAAATGTATTAAAACTGTAAATTCTGTTTTTTGAAAACAGATTGGGAACTTGCGGATTATGGAAGCGGGAGATGCAAATTTACGTCAGACTGATGGTAGTTATGTTTTGCATTATTATGTTGCATTAAAGCAATAGTTCACTCAGAATTTAGTGTTTATGTTGTTCCAAACTTGTATGACTTCTGTGGAACACAAAAGGAGAAACTTTGAAAAATG